TTCTACGGTTCATCTCGAGTTTACACTGGACTCGAGCTCAAATGTGATTTTATATTTAATTAATTGCATAATATTTCAGCTGGTAGGGATTTGGATAAAACCTTATGTTTGGATAAATTGGTTATCCCAATGACCGTTAGATACGTTGGTCTATCACATCAATAAATTTTTGTCAATAACAAAACAACTTACCTACGGACGTAGGACTCTTCGACGAGCTGTTAGTTTCGGGGAATCCCTTTTCCCTCTTCTCGTCGAGTTCAGTGTCGGAATCCAATATACTCGGCAGTGAACTAGCTTTTGTTCGGAAATGAAATGCACTTGGGGAAAGGAAGTTCCTACAATCAGCTTTTCTGGATCTATCGTCAGCTTTAGGCGACATCGGCAGGGGGGAGTGATTGCAGGATAGGACGGATTGAGGAGATGCTGCAGGTGATATAATCAGGCGTAAGTTTATAGGATTGGAGGGAGTGAGGCAGTTCTCGTGGCAGTAAGGGGAGTATAGCTGACGGCCTTCAATAAAATAGGTTTTATGACCTGGATAAAGAGAATTGGTTTTAGAGTGTGTCCACAATACTAACGACCGTGCAATCGTATGTCTATTTATAAACCCACTCACCGAAGACGTCATCGCCCTCTTCTAAGATATAGGAACCCCCGAGAAATTTTGCAGTCTCTTCTGATATGTGGACGCGACCTGGCTTTCCAGTGGACTCCATTTTGTTGGCGAAACTGACATCATTACTCCAAACATCGAATTTGAACCGACGTGTGCCCACTATACCGCAGAGTACGGTACCTGTGTGCACCCCGACTCTCATATTTATTCCTTCGCCCCGAACTCTATCGAATTCCTTGATGGCGTCTATCATTCCTGGAACATTTGTGAGGGATTACTGGATAGTAATATTTTCGTTATTATACTACAAAGCGAACTGTCTAAAAGTAAAAATTTAAAAATACCAGTGTTTTTGTCAGTAATTTTCCGAGATAAGACAAAGTATTTAATCACTTATAACCTAGTTGTCTAGATGATAGCTTTCTATCAATACAAGCCACTTACCCAATCCCATTTCTACACAGCACGTAGCATGATCCGGCCTGGGCTCGGGACAGCCAGACACGCAATAATAACAATCACCCAAAGTAGAAATTTTCTCACATCCATGATTTTGGCATAACTCGTCAAACTTCTCAAAGAGGTCATTTAATATATTTACTAATTCTTCAGCACCCTTGTTACTTGACATCTTGGTAAAGCCAACGATATCGGCAAATAGTATACTGACGTTGTCCATTGAGCTCATGTTGAAAGGCCTAAATAACGACTTGATATCGGACGCGCCGGGATTTGAATGTCGGGGTTTGAGCGGATTGTGTGTCTTTATATTAGTCTCAGTTTCGAGCACTTGTTCCTCCAGCAACCAGCTCGCTACTTTCGGCGGCATCACCGAGTGTATCATCTTCTCCTTCAGCTGTTTCTCCATTTCCAGTTGCTTCCTTACTAACAGACTCTGCCCTACTTTCATAAAGGTACCGCGCATTCTCACAAAGGTCATAAGGTATATATGAACACCAATTATGTGAACACAAAGTTGCAGCAAAATTCTTACAAACATTCCAGGGTACTGCCATTCTTGCTCTGACAAATGTAACACAATATTCAGTACTTCAAACACTATTGAATACAAAATTCCAATGATAACACAGGCATACAGCGGTAAAGGTGTCAGTGTATATATAATCAGCAATATTTCAATGCACATGGTAAAGTGTCCGGACTGGCTGATGTCGGCGGCCTGATATAATGCAGTGTCTGACCGTGTGGTGAGTGTCACCAGTGACAGGCTGAGGGTACACAGAGCGAGTGCCATGACCAGGGATAGCTTGAATGTGTACACTTTGTATATGTTTGTAAAGGTAACAAATAGCATAACAGATGTTATCAAGAGGACTCCACCAAATATAGAACATAAAAACGGCCATTTTAATGTAATGCCATTCAAACCAAGGGCCACAAAGTAGACAAACCATGATATAGAAAATATCAAAATGTATAAAAGTGCAAATCTGAAAACAAGAAAAAATAAAAACATCAAATATATTTAGTCAATGATAATAACAGTGACAACAAGCAATTTATCAGTTAAATTACAATCATGCAAGATTCTTACACAATTACATTATAAACTTACCTAAATCTTAGTCTTATTTGTCTAAAGGAACTACTTCTGTATTGGCCTTCAAGTATCTCAGAATCAAACCTAGGATTCCACCAGGTTCCTGTTGCAGCCCTCTCAAAGGCAATGGGTATAGTGAGGCCGCAACAGTTGGTGGTGGGATTGTTGCGTGCCAGGTAAGCTTGCACATGTGGTGCCAATCTAATCTGTGCGTCCTCACCCTCTGAGCAGTCTGCATCATGTTTGCTATCAAACTGTTGCGACCCATCACTGCAGCTGACACACCCACTTGGAGCATTCATTTTATGAAATATTTCATGTTACCCATTGCTAAAGCATACCAACACCAACTCTGGCCATATTTGAGTCTGTTTAGGAAAAGTAACTATTTTAATATTATTTGTAAACATGATTCATCTTCTTTGTTAAATATATTGAACCTACTTTTGTCAGTTTTTTCTGTCTAATCATATCAGCGACAAGATAAAATTTTAAACAAGAAATGCCTTTGTTTTCTCAATATTAAATCTAATCAAAGTATGGTCAGAGTAGTAACATGATACTTGGCCAATAGGAACTTCTTTTTAGTTACCTACAATAGCCCTACAATGTTACTGGTATTTTGAAATAATAAAAAGCTAGTTTAGTGACACCTAATTTACCTAGAATAGCAGACTAAAATTATAGATACTACAAGTTTTTAGCATTCCATAATAGCAACCTAATCAGGTGCACAACAAAACAAATTAAAAGATAAACTTACATCATCTTGGGCAGTTTACAAAACTTATGATCAAGTAACTACCTAAACAATTTTAATGTAACATACATAGGTACTTGATTTTATTTATTTATTTTTTAAGGGAATTAAATGTTGCTACACTTTAATTTGAAAATTTAATATAACATGCCCAATATCATTTCATGAACATTGTTCAGGCATATCTTAGGTAATGTTTTTATCACATTATCAGAACTAGGTTGTTTTTAAAAATCAGTCTATGGAGCAGGCCATAATTGGTATTATTCAGAAAATAGAAATAAAATAGCAGTTTCAAACCACAATCACAGAATGAACTTCCACAATTAATATCCAATAAATGTAAGATTTTACTAATAATTTATGAGTATAATATTATAGAAATAATCAGTATTGAAAATTTATCAATGAACATTTTTTTAAAAGAATATTTAGTACAGTAATCGCAATCTCTCAGCTGTGAAGCTGAAAACCAGAAAACATTACTCTAACATGACGAAATAAATATTATGTCTTCATTTACGTCCTTCAAACTCAAATACAAATCAATATTTACATTCCTATCGAAGTATTTTACTACTAATGAATTGTTTTTAGTTAAAATAAGTATTTTTACTTACCAAATCATTCTCACTTGAAATTCTTGACGTTTATTGATCAAGGTTATTACAGATCAGTCCAATGTAAGTAATTATAAGCAAATTTGAAAACATTAACATGCTCACTTTTCTTTCATGAAAAATCAGTTCATCATAATTTATCACAAGAATCGAAATGAAGAGTAAAAAATCACAAAAAGACACACAATCCACACACTTTATATCTGTTAGAGATGTTCGCATGACATTATTGAGTGCGGATGAAAATGAAGTAACTCTAAATCGATGTAAACTCTATATTTAAAAATCTGGGTTAGTCGATTTATTAAAAATACAATTCGATTGTCGAACATTTCATACGTCGCTCTTAAAAGTAACTATTTGGTATAGCACAAATATAATGATTATTTTAAATGACTACATAAATTAGTAATTTCATTGATGATCGCGAATATAACATATATATTTCTCGACAAACTAACCATACCATTACCATGAACCTAAGAACTATGACGAACTAGAACGTCCATTTAATATAAGGCAAGAAATAATCGTTTGGGATTGGGATCCATATTTTAGAATAAATAATTTCGTAGTTGAAACTAAAATACTGTTGGAAATCATCTGAGATCATGTTAGGCGAATTCAATTGTGTAAGTAGGGAAACAAAATGAAGTCAGTAATAACAACACCGCAATAAAGTAAAAAAATCTAATTTTCTTTGAATTTTCTTTCTTTCTTTTTTCCAAAAACGTTATTCCCCACTAGGTTTATCTCCTGTATCGTGAGTGCGTTTACAAATATACAAGAACACACAAGGCTCCGTGCCGGAATCGAACTCGCTTTACGTTGTGCGGCAGTCAGTTGCCCAGCCACCGCGCCAACCATGCAGGTCTATAAATGTAAACTGCAAAAGACGTAAGAAAATTTGAAGGGGGCTACTTTGAAGCATTCAACATACTGTATTAACTTAATAGTTGACAGAGATTTGAATCAGAGACCCTCGTCGGCTTGGCCGAATGGTCGCAAGTGCGACTACCGGGCAAGGGGTCTCGGGTTTGATTCCCGGGTCGAAGTATGGAATTGTATCCGGTATATGGCAATAGGCTCACCCCCTATTACATGGGACTCTTAACATAAATAGTGTAGTCGGTGTCACATTGTACAGTTGCATTCAGTGCCCCTCTGCCTACCCCTTCTGGGATGAAAGGCGTGATGTTATGTGTGTGTCAGCAAAAGTAATAAAACTTAGGTAATTTTAACATAAAACAAGTCTGAGGCTAGATTTCTAGAATTACAATTTATGATAGAAGATTGTGTATTAAGTAGGTACTCTAGTGAAATCAAAACAATAATATAGCATTGGTGTTTGAATTTTATTAATGAAAAACGTTTTAGAAAAAATATATTACTCCATAATGCATTATAACTAATTACATTAAAATGCTATGAAATTTATCACTAAAAATATTACTAATGTGCTGGGACATATAATTTAAACTTTATTAGAAAAGAACGAAAAAGTAATCAATTAATAGCAAATGCAAAACATATAAATTGAATCCATAATTGAAATTAAAATATTCAATATAAAAAATATTACTATTTATGCATAATCTGAAATCATTTGAGACTGCATAATCTTAATAATACATTATTTGGTAACTACAATGAAAACTTGTTAGCACAAACCATTTGAAATCAACAAAGGTATGTATTTATTAAATAATTATAAATTATCACAATAACAATCTAATAAATAACTTACATTAAAAGGAAGACTTTTTCACATAAGAAAATTTTCTTGCTACTACAAAGAATTGTTCATGTTTGATTTCTAATATTAATATAATGTAAGGCACATTTCGAGCACCACCTTTTTAATTATTGTCATCTCCACATTGAGTCTTCAATTGTATATAATATACTCTTTCTCGGCCACCATATCAGCCAAATGTAAATAAGCTATGCTATGCAATACATCTATAACAATATGATTTAGTTAACAGAACAATATTTAACAATTAGAATTGCTGCCAATTTCATAGAACATTTAACATTTATAAAAACAACTTCAAGAAAAGTTGTTCATTTTAAAAATAGTAAAAAACCACTGGCCTTTCACTTGTTTATCACACAATATCAGATATAATATCTCTCTTACAATAAATATCTCTTTGCAATATCATTAAGTAGGAAAATTAGTAGGAAATTAGTTTTTCATTGATTTCAGCACAAATATTAATCATTATACATGCCATCAAGTAAAAAGTCCATCCTTTTATAATGCCTGTTTTTCCAAGCCTCTTGGCCCCTTCGCAAAGCCATGTAACCAAGTACTGCAAACATTGGAACTAGCAAAATGGTAATTACAATAGGCATTATCATCCCAGGATGACTATTAGCACTCTTAGTGTAGATTTTTATATCTTTATTGGGAGATTGGATTTGATTAGTTATCAATGTACCTGGAGATGACTTAACAGTCATGTTCGCTAGAGTGTCATAAGATAACAGTAATGGTTTCTTAGGAATCTCAGTTTTATTCACACCTTTCACAATATTATCATACTGAGAAGTATTAACCTTAGATTCCATTGAATGATTTGTTGCTACTGTTTCATTCTTGACATCAACAGTCTTTTCTAATATTTTTGGAGCTACAACAGGGATTTCATTGCTAGTTGATGTTTTATTCTGTTTCTCACCATCATCTTCTATGTAAACAACCCCCTTCCTTGCAACAACTGGTTTAACTTTAGTTTTGCCCAACTCGCTATCTAAGCTGGTAAGTTTTTCTTTAGGTAAAGCCAGAATAGATGCCCCGACCCCGGGTAACACAGCTCCGCCTTCAGTTAGCAAAGTTTCTTTCGTTGCATTGGATTGATTCACCTTTTGAGATTCAGATTCAGTTACAGTTTTATTAGTTGGCTCCAGTTTAGCAACTGTTGTATTGCTGCTGTCAACTATTGGAATTAACAAAATATGACACAACACAAGATAAAATATCATTTTGTACAAAACCAAAACTATCGAAAACTAAAAAAAATCTTGTAAGTAAACTCATACAAGTCACAAAAACATCAGGAATCAAATTGTTTTTGACATTGTCAGTTGTGACGTGTGAAAAATCATAGAGAGTAGGGAATACATCAAAAACAGAAACTATCTGAAACTCGGTTTTAGTAATCGACTATAGAATGTTGTCTTGTTAAGTCACAAAAAAACATCATCTGATAATGTCAAAATAAAAAAAATATTGTCAAAATTATGTTTTGACAACTGCGACTTTCAAATGACACAATTTTTATTAAAATGATAAATAAATAGTGATTTACTATTGAAAAGAACCACGCGCTAATGTTTAATTAAAAGCCAAGTTATTGAAAATGAAGTTTTTACGTTTTTTCTAACCGGTGTGAATTACTACCAAAATGAGGACTCGTAGTAATTCAGGGGTGCGTTTAGATTATTACCAGCGGGTTGTGCACAAGCTAATTTTAGATCACCAGCAGCCTGTCACAGGATTGTTTCCCGCAAGCCCTCACAATGATCATGCTTGGATTAGAGACAACCTTTACTGTATTTTGGCAGTATGGGGACTATCTATGGCGTTTAAGAAAATTGCTGATCAAGATGAAGACCGTGCCAAAACATATGAATTAGAGCAAAGTTGCGTCAAGCTAATGAGAGGTAATTATTTCAAGTCACTCTTGTTGCATTCCAATATGTATGTATATAAAATATAACATGTATAATGCATAATTACTTAACTCAGAATACCTACTCAATTAGTCTAGCATACAACTGACTTGTTTGTTATTACCCTAACTATAACTTTATAATGCAATGCAGCATACATACATCATCACTGGGCCGAATGCTCTAAAGATACTTACTGATGGCATACCTACTTAATTATACATATCATAGACTATTTGCTTGCTTTAAACTCAAACTTTTCCATAAATCTTGGACTCCCAGTAATTTGAAGGACTTGCACATAGAAAAAAAATGGTTTTTTCAGGTCTCCTTATGGCTATGATGCAACAAAAAGACAAAGTAGAGAAATTCAAGAGTACTCAGCACCCCTTGGATTCTCTCCATGCCAAGTATTCTTCTACCACCGGCCGCATCGTGGTCAAGGACACAGAGTGGGGTCACCTACAGATTGATGCTATCTCCCTCTACCTTCTCATTCTTGCGCAGATGACAGCATCTGGCCTTCAAATTGTTTTCTCTTTAGATGAAGTTTCATTTATCCAGAATTTAGTGTTTTACATTGAATCAGCATATTGCACTCCTGATTATGGAATTTGGGAAAGAGGCGACAAGACTAACCATGGTCTGCCAGAGTTAAATGCCAGCTCCATTGGCATGGCAAAAGCAGCTCTTGAAGCTATGAATGAGTTGGACTTGTTTGGTGCTCGTGGTGGTCCTTCTAGTGTTATTCATGTGCTGGCTGATGAAGCTCAAAAATGTCAGGCTGTACTGCAGTCCATGCTGCCAAGAGAATCAAATAGTAAAGAGTTAGATTCAGGTTTACTGTCTATTATAAGTTATCCAGCTTTTGCTGTGGATGACCCCCAGTTGATTGCAATAACAAGGGACACCATTGTTGCTAAACTCCAAGGGAAGTTTGGATGCAAGAGATTCCTCAGGGATGGACACAAAACACCAAGAGAGGATCCCAATAGGTTGTACTATGAGCCTTGGGAACTTAGGATGTTTGAAAACATAGAATGTGAATGGCCATTGTTCTTCTGTTACCTGATATTGGATTATTGTTTTAAAGGTGATAAAAACAATGTGACAGAGTACACACAGTTGTTGGAAAAGATTATGCTAAGGAAAGATGACGGTATCAAGTTGGTTCCTGAACTGTATTCAGTGCCACCTGACAAGGCTGACCTGGAACAGCAGAATCCAGGAAGCCAGGAGCGAATACCCTTGGGCAGGTGCCCCTTCATATGGGCCCAGTCTTTATACATTCTAGGAAAGTTATTACAAGAGGTAAAACCTATGTGTCCATGTACACTGTGTTTTGGTTATTCCTTTTCCATTTGATTTATTCTCAACTTTGATCATTTCCAGGGTTTCCTAGCTGTTGGAGAATTAGATCCTCTTAACAGAAGGTTATGTTCAGAGAAAAAGCCCGATGTGGTTGTTCAGATTGTGATTCTTGCTGAAAATAATGAAATCAGAGATAAATTACTAGAGTATGACCTGCATGTGCAAACTATCAGTGATGTGGCTCCTATTGAAGTCCAACCAGCAAGAGTTTTAAGCCATTTGTACACATATTTAGGTAAGTAATCAAGGTATATCTTTGAGAACAAACTAAGTTATTATTCTGAATAACATATTAGTGTGACTAGTTCTCAAAATATCATACAGAATTATGTCATGTTTTAAATTTAACTAATAAAAAAATTACTTGGTACCTGCAGGTCGTAACAAGAAATTAGGTTTATCTGGCAGAAAATCCCGTGATGTAGGTATTTTAAGTACAAGCAAACTGTACTCTTTGAATGACCGCATATTCGCATTTACACCACAGGTATGATACAACCTCATTTGTTTATCTCTCTATTTGCAGAGCAATTGCATTATTTTACTGATTTCGTTTATGTTATGTTATTGTTTACTATAGTATATTTTTTGTTGCTTTTTTGAAAAAATGCATAATTCAAAATTTTTGTTTAATTTACTAGTTTTCTGACATGACACGTTTCTACATCGCCTCTGACTACGATCTTATGGTTGACACCCTCAAAGCAGAAATTAATTTCTTGAAGTCCTCTTGGCAAAACCTTCTTGGTCGACCACTTGTTGTCTTGACTCTGAATAAAATGCACCTGGGTATTGTTTTATTTCTTTATTACATTTAAAAAATTGCTTGCTGGTTTTCCCATTCAATTGTTAGAATTGGTCATTCACAAATAACATGTACCACAAATAATGTTACTTTGAATGTAAATTTGTTTGAAAAGGACTCACATAGTTTAGGAATACGTAGTGTAATGCTAGAATACGTAACTAAAATTATACTAAGGTGATGTTTAGTTCTCCTTAGTTACATCAGTATTTCTGTCAAACTGTGTTGTTGGTAAATTTTCCAAGATTTACATGACACATAGTGATAATATTGACAGACAATTAGAAGTGTCCCTATTGCTCCCTTTACCTGCATCATCCAGAGTCTAGACCCTGTATTGTAGTAAAATATAAACAATAACTAAAATCGTATTAACCATGAGTGTAGCTAGGATCATATTTTAATAATTTATTTCTTTATATTTTTCCACTACCATTGTTTTTCATATTCAATCCCTGGCTATACTCATGCCCCCTACTATGTAATAACCCCTGCATGGGTGTGGTGTGTCATAGAACTTCGACTACGAAGAATACTACATGTCGCGCGACCCGGCGCTCCTCGCCAGCACGTTCACGGCTAACGTCGCGTTCCTTGGCATGAGCTGGAAGCAAATGCTTGGCCGACCGACGATCACATTACTCGCTACACAGTATTTGTTAGGTAAACCATAATACGAATAATAATAATTTCTCTCAATGATTTTTCTTTCTTTCTTTCGTTGTAAAGGTGTTTGGCATATAAAGACTAATACGTATAAAAGTGCTTATTAATTCTAGAGCGTCTGTTTATTAAACTTTATTTAGGTAATTGTTATATTTACGATGGAAGAGAAACTTGTGAGCTTTAAGTGCGCAGAGAGGTGCTTCTTTAACTTAAACCGCCTAATAACCCGTTCGACGCTATTATATATGTATATATATATATATAAATTAATTAATCAAATGTGCCATTCGCCATTACACACTTAGTTATTAAATTTTTATTTAGATTAGTACCTAGAACTTTCCAATAAAATTAGTTTTTTGCGTTAATGCTTTCTTCATAAAAGTACTCACATTTTTATTGCTTTATTCTGGTGGCTGGGTGACTGGGTCTTATGGTTGGTTTATAAAGCACTCGAATTGGAATGGATTTGGTTTGCCTTTCCTCCTGTTTAACTATTTCTAAAAACACAATAGTAACTCATCAATTCATCATGTACATGCTTTCAAAGCGCTTGTGGTAATTTATTTATTTTTACAATGAACGTCTTTAAATCGAACTTCGAGAATTCGAAAATATACAAATTTCTCTCTCTTTCCCCTCTCTCTCTCTCTCTCTATGTCGCTTCCTTCCGTCCGCTCTGTCTATCTCTTTGATGTTTTTGGGCTCTAGAAGTTCAATTTAAAGAGACTTTATTCGTATAGATTATCAGTTCTATTGTCCGTATTACAGATCAGGGTAAAATCCCGATGGCGATGATAACGACTATGAAAAAGCTTAAATCTGGTTACATCAACGGTACAAGAGTAACTCTTGGTAATCTCGGAGAGTTTTTGAGCACATCCGCCATTACTAATTTGAGTTTCCTTGGCAGTCAAGAGGATGGATATCCTGATAGTAAGTTTGCTATATTTACCCTAAAAAATACCAGCTTAAAATAATATAAGTAGGTAATAGATTCTGTCTATCTTTTCTTTTTTTATATAAATGACGGCAAATGACTTAAATAATGTTTCTCTTTATAATTTCAGAATTAAACCCAGAAGTTCAGAGTTATTTAGAAGAGCACTTATTGAAGTCGTTTAGCAACAAGATCAACTTCCTGCCACGTCCAGCTGGAGCTAGGAATGCACGCGCAATGCGCCGCCGTATGTCTGTGCGTGGAGCTATCAAGAAAACTAGATCTATCAATGTGGATTGTACGTATAATTTTCAAACTTATCTCCTTGGTACAGGGTTTAAAACTTAAGATAGATGATAATACACTGCGCCTCCTGCAAATGTGGGCCTTATTCCAATATGTGTAAAGTTTAGTTTAGCATGTTATGTCTAATTAGTATTGTTTACTTATTTTCGACAATAACATCTATAACGTTTGTTCAGAAACTGAGCATGCAGGGGAATGTTTTTAAACAAATATCGGTTTAATAATAACTTATTTGATTTGCAGCTGAAACGTTAGGTATGGAAGGAGAGTCAGTGGGTCGTTCTTTGGAGCGTAAGCCGTCGTGGCTTGATGTGGACCCTGCTACTTATGGACGCAGTCCATCGCCTGAGGATGCTAAACGCCGAGCGTTCACTAAGTAAGTATATTGAACAGAAATTTTTGCGCAATTTGCGCTAACTTGGCTACGTAATGCGCAATGAGAAAAGAATGTCAAAGTTTTTTATGGTTTGTAATTCTGTTGTTTGTACTTTTAGGGGAACATCGACGACGTCTTTAGCCGTCTCCACACCTACCATTGAAGTGACAAAAGAAAAGTCTCCGTCACCACCTGAAGGTAACCAAAAAGTTTTTAAGTGTCATAAGTAGAAAATAAAAATAACTATTGGGAAGTTTTTATATTTATTTTCAAGAAAATTTTACTTTAAGAGACGTATTCTTATTTCAGCGATAGTAAACAAGAATCTTACGAACATAGTTCGCAATCGCACCACTTCAGAGTCCCAGAACTCTGTATACGCTGAACAAGAGACGGACGAGCTCATCGCCATGTTGCGTGAGACTGAAAGCCTGGACGAGCAGGGAGACATACTGCAGTATCTCGTCGATACTCATGGACTGGACTTTAGTACAGGTACCGACAAACTGACTGACGGACTGCACGGTTGGTGCGGTGGCTGGGCAACCGGCTGCCGTGCAACGTGTCGCGGGTTCGATTCCCGCACGGGACAACACTTTATGTGATCCACAAAGTGTTGTTTCGGGTCTGGGTGTCATTGTGCATGTGAACTTGTATGTTTGTAAACGCACCCACGACACAGGAGAAAATCCTAGTGTGGGGCAAAAAAAAAAAAAACTGCTATGACTTACTTTGACTTATAGCCCTATGTACCCTAGATGAGCCAGAGGGCGTGCAACAGAGGTTCTCCATCTCGATGGGTCTTGAGCTTCTCGCTTCTCCTCGCTCCACGTTATTCCGATGCTAATTATGAAATTATGATGTTAATTTTGTTAAAATGTTAATCAACTATATAAGGTGTTAATAAATTAACTCTAGGAAATCTAAGGTTTTGTTGTAACATTTATTCCATAATTAATCACGAAAAAATAATTAAAAAAAAAGCTACCGTTCTAAAGTTATTCCACTATTTGTGTTACACGTAAACAGCCTAATATGCGCGCCGTACGACGTACTAGGCCGTCGACGAAGCCCCGAGCGACCGCGCTGACGCAGGTTTCGTGGTACCGCGCGCTTATGTTACTACTGAACTTAATAATGTTTCATTTTAATAAACGACCACACGACTCTGTTTAGATTATGTTATTTAACTGAATTGATATGCTTATAATTAAAATAGCATAGCTAAAATGATTAATTATGTCAATTTTTTGAATAGGTAAATACTAATAATAACTCAACCAAAAACCAATACTTCGGTAGTTAGTAGTACTAGTACTAGGTGGTAGGTTGGTAGTTACTTAGGTATTTATCATTTACAAGTATTCATCGGAATAAATGCCCGTCTCTAGATACCTAAGTATTAACAAAGAGTCTACCTTATTTACAGAAGATGCTGGAACTTGGAAGTGTCTTCCACTTTGTTCGATGCACAAGTTTGTACGACGCGACGTATTACGTTGTTTTTCACTCGCAATAATGTGTCTCTGTCACTTTTAATAATATCAAACGCGTTTATCATGCTTATTTTTAATTCGTCCGCGTTTCTAATCTCACTACCACTGACGAGCTGCAGATACATTTTCGCCACTTCTAATGTACCACATTAACATGTCTAAGTACTTGCGGTTACTGTGCGTAAACGGCATTATTGAATATTGAACAACAAACAATAAAAAATGGCGCGTGCGATTGATCGGACACAACACTGAACGACACTGAGGGCCACACCCTTCCCGCGCGACAGCTATCGATCAACTGGCGATCGAGAGAGAGAGAAGTGGGAAAGAGAGCGGGGCAACTAGCGAACGGGAGAGAGGGAGAAAGAGAGAGAGATTGCGATAACATGGGGACGGTGACGGCGCGCCATTGCTTCGCTCGGGCCGCAAGCGCAGCCCCACGTACGGTTTGCACAAAAACGTTTAACCAACTCCTTTATTTTTGTTAAAAATAAAAGTTGTTAAAATTGTTAATTTTTTTTTGCTAAACGTGCCAGTTTATTGATTCCCACCAACCTCATAAAATATTTAGAGCGAATTTAATAACACCTTATATAAAGCCGCATTGAGTACGAAAACTACGAAATCAATGTGTACTCTGCCACTCTAATTATTAGTGTGCTATATTTGATACGATGTCATTTGATGTGCTAAGCACAGTTTTTGATTATTTCCATACTAAGTGAAAAATTCATGAATTCAGTATACCATTGGTAGTTAAAATTAAAAATATTGTTCTCAGGCATGCAAGAAAATGGGAAAATGGTGACCGTGAAAGACCTTTTAAAGGTTCTTTACGAGAAGGCCTGTACTCAAAAGCTCTGGGGACTCGTCCGTCACACGGCGGGTATGCTCGGCAAGAGAGTTGAGGACCTCGCAAAGGCTGTAACGGATTTGTTGGTGCGACAGAAACAGATTACTGTGGGCATGCCTCCCAACAATGAACATACTATCACCGCTCCGTTGCCAGAGAATGAATTGAGGCAGCTTATACATCAGGTAAGGCATCTAATGTTATGGGTACTTGTTTGTATACTATACTTTATATCCCATTTAAGAACTGTGGACTGTGACGTTGCATGGCAACAAGCTTGTATTCACCGCATCCGCATGTGTTGTTAGGTAAAAAATAGGATTCGGAGCTCAAACACGCTAGTGGCGCCATCTAATGTGCGCGAAAAAAGGACGACAAATCAGTCTATATTGAAATATGCCGTAGTTTATTTATAAAGATGACTGAGTTAATAATAATATTATATTATTTTATAAACTAAACAGTATCATTAAACATTGATTTTTATTCGAATCAATCTGACACGCTGACAAGTAAAATATTATGTAAGTTGAACCGCTATAATAATGTTAGCTTTAATATTTGTTGCATGCAGTCATTTCGTCATGAAAATCAAGGGAATGAACAGAAGAAGGTAACAAATGCAGTTATATAACAATGACTAACGTTCATACCTACCTGTGTTATCATCGTAACTGTACGCTCATTGCTTTTTATTATTACGTTATACGAATTACTTTACTTAAACATTGTTCTACAGAGAATTTGTACATTGAACCACTTTTTCAATTGAAACTGGTTAGGTAATAATTATGTCTATCCAACACTAAAAATATGGGAATTTCACACCTGATTAAAAATTGCGACTTTTGACTAGAAATGCGATGTCTCTCTTGGATTATACAGTTAAAGTTTGACTAAGCATATAAATGTACGGAGCGTTCCTAATCAGCGTGCTTTTATGACCATCATTATAAAGAAGTACCTATGTAAGGATCGTAGGTGGTGCTCTATAGTTTTTGCCTACCCTATTAAGACAAAGGCGTGCTTCGACTACATTATAATATAGACATTTCAATGCATATATTGGGGATCACTTTTTAAGCGTAGTAAGTTAAAGAGTAATGGTGTGTACAGGCGTATGGTGACGACGAGAGTACAGCCATGTTGACTCAGGAGCTGCTGGTCTACCTCGCCATGTTTATCCGCACTGAACCACAACTCTTCCTAGAGATGTTACGACTTCGTGTCGGACTTATCATACAGGTAATTCTCAACTTCCTCTTCGATATTTTTCTTTTATTACTTTTTGAATTGAAGCTGTCAAACTTGTATAATAAAGTTCAAAATCTTTTAAAAAAGACAAATTGTGTACTGCGAATGCTGGCGTCACTGGTTACCTTACAAGGAAACTGCCTTGTGACACTTTGCTTAACTTTTTATGATGTTTAGTACTTCGGTAGAAATAAATTAGTCTATCATTTTTTTGGTACAGGTTATGGCCACAGAGTTGTCGCGAACGTTGTCATGTGACGGTGAAGAGGCATCTGAACATTTGCTGAACTTATCACCTTTTGAGATGAAGAATTTGTTACATCACATCCTCAGCGGAAAGGAGTTTGCCATCAATAGCGGTAAATAATAATAGTACTTATTAAAATAAGGATATGATTCAGAACTACATATTTAAATTATGATTTCTTAAAATCACATAGCATCTCGTGAAATTAAAGGCTACTTTTGCTTAATTTCTACATCTCATACATTTTCTATACTTAATTTACCACATATGTATTTGAGAAGCTACATCTCTGAACAAATGTTTCCCTTTTTGCAGCAAACTCACTGTTTGTAATAAAAGGAAAAATCAGTAAAAGTAAAGGCGAGTGTATGACAACCGAGTATTGCTTATGTGTATGTCTGAATGCACCCTGTTGTAACCTTTGTCTGTCCAAACTTGCACACGATTTTGTACCTAATGTGTGGCTATTATGGTCCTAAACGTGACGTAATTCCCATGTATTCTAAAACTGAAGTTAGTTTACCAACTACAAATCTGTAAGAATAGCAGATAGTATTTTTTGTATATAAAAAAAAACAGAAGTTTTGTGTTTTTGAGAGTTCTTAAAATAAATTGAATATGTATCATACTATTCGTACCAATTAATAGAATCGGTAACACCTGTATAATTATGATAGTTTCCTTCATTGTTTTTGTAAATAGATAGCCAATACTTTTGATGCCCTAACATCGAAGCTTCGATCAACACTAGTTGATTGAAGCATCAAACCCTCTAATTATGTTTTTGTGTACCTAAATAATTTATTTTTAACTTCATATTAATTTCTGATTGACTTGTTTGTGTCCCAATTTAATAACTGTTTTATTTGTTTTCTTTTAATGGAGAGTTGTTTTAGTAAAATAATGTGTATTAAAACTAGTTCCTTTATTTACAGTTGGTCGCGGTAACTTCTCTATAGTGAGCAACAAATCTCATAGATATGGAAAGAAGTCACAGATTGTTCTAGAGGGCCAATCTCTACAGGGCGGCATTGAAGAAGGTAATTAACTACTATCGGAGTATTTACTATAATTTTGTCATATTTAAGCATTAATCATTTTGACTGAACAGTTAGTTCAGTGGCTGTGCATTTTGTGCTGTTGCACAATTGCTGCTAAATTTATTCTGATAATTCTTGACATACATAGTCTACAAATTCTTTCAGTCTGGTATTAAGTACCTCTACCTACATAAAAGAGTTCTGTAAACAGAATCATGTGGGAATTATGAAATTCCAAGCAAAGTCATAAAATATGTAGTTTTTTACTTTTATGTCTTCTTTCTTCCATAGCACCTATAACTGAGCCAGATCGTCAGGGCCAATGGTTGCGTCGACGCAGGCTCGACGGAGCATTGAACCGCGTGCCACGTGACTTCTACCCTCGCGTGTGGGGTGTCTTGGAAAGGGTGAGTTTTAAACTACATAGAACTTATAATAGCTATAGCTATATACACCACCAATTTAGATAAATTTAAAGTTTTTGCGTTCTGTAATAACTATTTTTGTTATTGTTTCAGTGTCAAGGTTTAATTATTCAAGGAAAGATCTTGCAACCGAATTTGACTCAAGAGATGACGTCAGGAGAGTTGAAATTCGCGCTTGCAGTGGAAACAGTACTGAATTCGATCCCACAGCCGGAGTACAGGCAGTTAGTTGTGGAAGCCCTCATGGTGTTGACATTGGTCGTGGAGTATAAGGCCGTAGCGCACCTGGGAGGAACTATTGAGGTCGAGAGTCTGGTCCACAGAGCCAACCAAATATTCTTAGATGACCAGGTAAGGTTTTACTTGTATTGTTCTTATTTTTATTGGTCTCCTCTTGCCTTACTCTATTAATATGACTTTTTTAGCTTACTTTTGCAACATAAACATATATTGGTTTTATCTGTCAACACAATCATAAATATATCATTTCATCAACAGATGCGATGCAACGGCGACGCAACTCTGTGTTGCGCAAAGGAGGGGTCTCGTGGGGGTTCTCTAGTCTGTGGCGGCGCGGCCGGGGTCTGTCAACATTTGTACGACAGCGCGCCGTCTGGCTCGTACGGCACCATGACGTACCTGGCGCGGGCTGTCGCGGCACTACTGGCAGACACCATGCCTCTCGACTCGCCCATCGAGTGCACCATCACTTAATGTTACTACTCCTTTACTTGCCATATAGATCGTAGTTAGAAAAGGTAATGGGATGTTCCAAGCTAGTAATTTTTTCGAAATGTACAAAACGAGATTTGCTACAAGATTGTACTAGCGTCTACTAACATTTCGCGAAAAGCTTTAGTACAAAAATACGATAACCAAGTATTCGTATTAAAGTGGTATACGCTTTTACATTAAAAAAATATTTTTGGCTTAGGAGACATCCCACGTGAGTGATTGGCTATGACTACAGCGAGGGTTTACCGTCCGGTGCCCCATAAACTTTGTTGCTACAAATTATACTTAGTATGAAATTATACTATTAGAAATAAAAATTCTTGCAATATAACCCGCAATACGAGTTAAATTCGAATGAAATTCGATCCTTCTCTGATCTATAATTTTGAACAAAGACAGCTCTTATAAGTGCCAATATCTAAATATAAGGCGCAAAATGACAATCGACCTTCTTATCATCGTTGTTTGACTAGTTTATCTCGTCGAAAACTAGACATATATCTTGGAGCGAATATAATTCTTCTCCAATAATTGTTACACAAAATAAATTTATATTTACCTAAGCATGTACTTATGTCCCAGAGAGTGTGACCTTGAAATGACAGCAGTGTATTATGTAATTACGCAAACATGTTCTCTAGTTGTTCCAATGTTGACATTGTAGATGTTACTTCGTGTCTGTCTCTATTTAAATGCATCATAGGTTGTGTGGCATTGTGCCATTACTATAACAATATCCAATTGCAATCTCAAATAGTATTTCTTAGGGAACATCTTTTTTTTATGACTTTTATACATGTTATGCCATTTAAATACTTTTTTCTTTATTAAAATATCATGTTATCAACTATAGTCACAAAGTTTTAATACTTTTGTGAACATATTTTTGGGTTTTTTAGTATTGTATCATTAACTACAGATATTAAGAGGTATTATTGTAATCATAAAATACTGATTTATTTTCTGATATTAAAATAAAATTATTTCAACTCGAGTTTTGTCTTACACAAGTAAATCCCTACTGTAGTACACAAAGGTAATTCATAATAAAAAAAACTCGGTAATACCTATTTATTCTAAATTAGATAGACTATCTCTGGCAATAAACACATCTACTAGAAATGTTACATTTTGCTAAAAAAAAACAACTTTAGACATTACATGTCCTAAGAATCAGACAGCTACAACAATTAAGCTTCATCTTTCTTTCCAAATGGATTCATCTTTGAAAGCCAAGATGTCGTACTTCTGAAAAGAGACGAAAAAATATTGTAAGAAAATAATTTTAAATCACTGGACGGATGGCATATAGAACTCTAAAGAGAGGAGCCTGGCAATTGGCATTCCATCAACTTTAGGCTTACAAAATAGAATGTTTGATGAATGACATCAATGAAACAACCATATTATAAGAAATTACTTACGATATTTCTTCAGGCGATGTCTTAGTCGACTCAATTCCTGCCGCTTTCAATTTTTCAACTAGATTTTTTCTGTACATGTTTTTTAAAGGAACAGGTTTGTTGGCTGCCTCTTTCTGTTTAGCAAGTTTGCACAGAGCCTCGTACCATGATAATCCATACCATTCTATTTCTTCGGGAGTATACTAAAAAAATTTTTATTTATTACATTTAAGTTACAATTACACAATGACCGTGTGGCAAATAATCCAGATTTTAGTATTGCTTATATTATGTCTCTAATCTTGTTTCAAACAACTCTACTGAAATAATCTGAATTTTCTTTTCAATTAAAAATACCTTTATATTTGCATAAATGGTGTACAATTGCCTAATTTTATTTGAACAGTGATACTCACCGATGTCAAATAAGTTTTGTACTCCTCATATACTTCTTGTTGCCTCTGAGGATCATGGGAATATCGAGGACACCCATTCATCAACTCAATCAGTATCTGCTTCTTCAATTTCAATGCTAACATGGATACTAAGTCACATGCTGGTGTCTTCAGTAAATAGTGGTCAAAGCCATAATGATCATTGATCAAACTAATTGTTCGGTCAGTCACAGTTACTGACAGGTGGGTGTTCAACACCTCAGATTTTACTACAGTCCTCTTTAATACAGGTACCCAGTAGTGTGGGACCCTGCGTCGTCGAGGATCACGTTTTTGGAAGCCTGTAAATTGATAATCAACATGTAACAACGACATAACCTAAACAAATTTTTATTTATATTCATAATTGTACACAAAGCCTACCTTTGACCACAGCCTCACCACCCCATATGCCCTCATGAATCTCTGCCGGGTGTTTCAATGGAATGGGGATGTTTTGAATGGGTAGTATTTCCCCAGTGAGGTCGTCGCGTTTCCATTTTCCTTCTTGAGGTATGTAATGGACAGCAGCTGGCTTTAACACCTTCCATTCACGCCAGAATTTTTTATATGCAATGGGTAATTCTGAAGCTATGCCTATATCAAACCTGCTCTTTTTCTTATAAGCTTTCGATAGTTGGCGAGCTGTAGCCTGAAAAATAATCTACGCGTCAAATTGCACCAAGGTAATACCTACAATGTAAGAATAAAAATGATGAAACATGTGTCAAATATTGCTCATTAGTGCAAAGATTTACCTGAATTCTTGATGCCATTGAATAAATTTATGGTTATTTTCATAAAATTATTAAATAATGATAGATATCAAACAAATTCAGATAATTTTGACTTTTATCAAATTTTGCTGTAGAGTCAGTCACTTATGTCAAATCGATTTATAGTTTTTTTATTGTCAACATTGGGAATATTGTTATCAAAATCAAACTTATAAAAATTTGTAGTGTATTATTACGTCATGAAAATTATTTGAACCTTATATTGAGTAGGAACTTTATTTTGATTTAAAATTAGATTTTTTACAACGAGATTGAGTCCAATGAGATTATAAGATTCCGGCATGGATGTTTCGGTCTGACAGCTATGATGGCTGTCAAATGTCAGGTGTCATTACTGTCACTGTCATTTGCTTAAGATTAATATCGCTGCTGACGTGGTTAAAAAATGTGATACAGAAGCGATATTGGCAAATTAGTGCTAGTGGTGGTGGCTAAATATTTTGATAATTAGATAAATATTTTTAATATTTCTGTTGTTTCGTTGTATCTATTTTATAAAGTGTATTGAATAGTGATTGTGCACCGCGTATTACGTGTATTATTAATGTTGGCAGAGAGCAATAAGCTATGTCGGACAATAAAAACAATAATCCTCCCGAAAGGGAACAATCTGATACTGCTGACAGCTATATAGCTTCTAGCGAGGTGTCGAGTGTCGTTGGTAGTGTTAAAACTTCTAAGGTAAATAGTGAATGTATAAGGAAACTGAGCACTCTTTTTTACTTTGTTATTTGCATGACACAAGCATAGCAAGGACATTATGTGTTTCGATTTGCTATTGGTTTTTAATACTACGTAATTAAACATGCTGTGTGTTGTCATAACTATTTTCGCAATGTTTGAATATGTAAAACTACTTAAATTGACCTTCGATCTGTATATTACACAAAACAAAATAGTATAGGAATTCCAATCAGCTGACTAGACAATATAAACTTTAGCCATATTGTTGATGAAAACAACACAAAAAAGTTGTATAATGCATATTATGTGGAAATTATAATAAGTTTGGTTTGTACAATATAAATTATAATATATTTTAGACATCTCAGCGGGTTTCATCATCTTCAGAAAGACAAATAAAGTTTGAGCGTGCTCAAAAGTGCCTGGAGAATGCAGCACTTGTGTCAAAGAGGATTAAAGAACATCGGAAGGCAACTGCAGAACTACTGGGAAGGCCGTTTGGTGAGTGTCAATGACATTGTCAAAAAACAATAAGTTAATTTTTTTTGTGTTTTATAATTTATTACTTTCAAAAAGCAATACATACAGAAGCGTTGAAGGAGATTAGGGAGGCTTTTGCCCTACAGTGGGACGATCCTGGCTAATAATAAATATAACATTTAGTTTTATAACCACTTAAATTATATTCATTTAGGTAGTTGTCTTTCCTTGGTAATTAGGTAAGATAAACAATATTTATGTACATAAACAAATACAATTAAAAATGTGTGGTCTTTTAAGTACTAGTAAGTATACCAAATTATAATAATGTATTTTCCTCTGAATAATAATTATGTTGATATATCATACCCAAAATTTGTTCATACAATAAACATAACATAACATCACATCTTTTTTATCCCCGAAGGCGTAGGCAGAGGTGTACATTTCGGCACTTAATGCCACTGTACAGTGTACAATGTAACACCCACTTTTCACTATTTATGTTATGACTCCCATGTAGTAGGGGGTGAGCCTATTGCCATTTGCCATATACCGGATTTATTCATTCATACAATAGTAGACTAAACATCAGAAATAAGGTCTATAATGGAGTTAGTGGAGAAGGGTCTCCATTGACAAATGGCATTGAGATACACAACTGTAAACTCTATAAAACTTTATTTACTAATTGTGCCTGCGTAGTCTGCAATGATATATTGCGATAAAGGAATTGATTGGCGAGTTGGAGTAGCTCCAAATAAAAATACAGTATTACTGAGCAATAAAAATAGTTTACCCTTGAGTTTTATTGAAGAGAACTGCATAAAATGGTCTAGATAATTTTTAAACATGCTACTGAACTAAACTTATGTTGACAATTTTTTTAATAAACTTATTATTTAACATAATACAGTTTTACTTCCTGAACAAGTTGATAGAATTTCACATAACTATTAGAGTTACCACCCAGTTTTCACTAGTAGTATTTTAAAAAATACCAGCATAAACTTATTTAAAAATACACAAATTACAACAAAAGAAAATTAATGTTGAGTTTTAAATATTTAAACAAGGTTTCACAGTAGATAACAATTATGAACAGTAGGTACCTACTGAATAAAACTAGTGAATTAGATTTTACACTTGTACATTTTCTAAGAGAACTATAATAAATTGGTTTGTCTTTACCAGGCTACATTAGTGTTACGATTTTAATAAATAATAATACATTCAGAATATTTTTCGTGAAACAGAGGATCCCATAGCAGCTTAAGTTAAAAATCAACATCTAGGAACCTTAAAACTATAACACTGTGGTGTGTCAGTGGTCAAACGTCGTCTCGTCAAATATAATAAAATATAGGTAATAATAAAAAAAATCTTAAGACATATTGAAGGTCATCTATAATTCCATACCATTTATTTTCGCATATCACACACTCGTTCAGCAGGTAGTGATTGTAGAACCAATATCCACACAGACAGCAATATGTCTCAAGCTGAAGAAGGCCAGCCAATAATTCACTGCTCCTAACCTTTATACCCCATGAACCACCACTACTGAGTATAAATTGCCAACATTCACAATCCTTGTTACCTGACTTGAACATATAAAGTGTGACGGATCCTCACATAGCTACATTGCCTCGCCAGCAACAATAATTGGGAAATTATATTTATATACTAATTAAAATCTATAATTAAGTCAATATTTTTTCAAACTTTTATATCCTTAAAATGTATTCTCAGAGACCGTTAAAAAACTCTAAATGATATAACTCTTTGAAATTCCAGAGGATGACGATGGCGGTGATACGGCTTCTGAATTGGCTTCCACCGTGAGTGAAAGAACTGGCTACTCGGCTGCAACTGACACCTCCACTACTCTGTCAGTCCAGGATGCTTTGAACAGTAAGTATTAGTTGTAACTCCGTTTTATAATTCATTTTATTATTTACAGTTATACAAAATTTTGTATGGTTGGTATAAAGTTTATCTGTTAAATGCAACTTATCTTTTATCTTCACGTTCAGATTTCTGTCATACTTCCCATATGGGATTCCAGCCTAGGTACTTATTGTTTAGCAGTTATATCTATTTTCATTACAATTTATATTAAAATGTCCTTTCTCCTTTTTTCAGTTCCTGGCATTAGTGAG